CTGTTGATTGAGATACTTTGTGATACTCGATTATTTGTTATTCAATGTCCTTAAGCATATTTTCTTCGTCATATTGTATACTTTCCCGCTTTATTTAATATTTTCAGGTTGATTTTAGAGAAAAGATCGGAACGAGATAATTAGAGTATTAAAGACGAGTAGATGTCGATGTAATTGATGTTTTAATCCTGTTGAGAGATTTATTTATATTGACAGATTTATTTGTATTGGGAGATAATTTTGATAAATAAAATTTTATTGGGACAATTAGTGCTCTGTTATTTTTATTTGAGTGTTTTTATATCAATTAACATCTCCGAAAAGAAAGAAAAAAATCGAGACGTTACATTGTCGATCTTCGATATGTTGGACGGATGTGGGAGAAAGACCCCATACAGGTCCATACTTGGTTAGAGACACTTTAAAGAAGGTGGACCTTATATGAAAGCTTTTCTCACAGCTCAGAGCCGACAGAAGAGTTACGCCGACAAACGGCAGCGACCTCTAGAGTTTGAGCTGGAAGATCATGTCTTCTTGAAGGTGATGATTAAAAGATGAGTGGTCAGGTTCGACAAGCGGAAAAAGTTGTCGCCGAGGTATATTGGGCCCTTTGAGGTACTCGAGAGGGTGGGTACAATTGCTTACCGATTGGCATTACTGCCAAATCTATCGGGAGTTCACGCGGTATTCCATGTCTTCATGCTCCGAAAATACACCCCGAATTCGACTCATGTGATGGATTGGGGAGTACTTGTGGTTAATGCTGATGGGACCTTTGAGGAGCGACCGGTGCGCATCATGGATAGTTGGGAATAGGTTTTGCGTGGCAAGACCGTGAGACTAGTGAAGGTGTTGTGGTAGCACCGGGGAATGGAAGAGACAACATGGAATCATGAGGACACTATACGTACTAACTATCCGTTCCTGTTCGAGGATGGAGGTACAAGTTTTATAATTTTATGTATAAAGTCATTGTTGCATATGCATGCAATTAACTGTATATGTGTGTGTGAATTTCGGGGACCAAATTCTTTTAAGGGGGGAAGAATATAACACCCGGTAAATTTAAGCTTTTATAAACAAGGGCAAAACAGTAATTTTGTTGCTATAGTACGGGTTAAAAACCTAAATTTTTTTAGATCTCGGATGACAAAATGGATCTTACTGTTAGATTCGTCTCGCGAAATCTAGTTATCATGTCAAATTTCATCGAATTTCGAGATAGTCAGATTTTTTGCATTTTACGAGGTGGTCGAGTCTCTAGTAACCCAAAAACGGGATTTCTAATAAAATTCCAAAATTTGAAAAATAATTTGAGGTAAATTAAAATAAAATTAATTTGAACTTGAATCAGGGTGAAATTAAATCGTTTCGGGACGAAAATAGACCCGAAAAAAGAGGTTGTGTGGCACAATGTGAGCCAAGTAAATGAGGGTATAAAAAAGGGGGGGCAAATCTGATTTCTTGGCCACTTTCTTTAGCCGGTTAACGTGAAAGGGAAGAGAGGGAAAAAAAAGGAGCTCTCCACTTCTCTCTACGATCTACGACTCCACAGGCTTTGGATTCACTCGGGCCAAGAGGAAAAGTCATTCTCCTCACCGAGGGCTACGTGACCACACCAAAAACGACGGGTGTCACCGAAGGTTGAAAAATAATATTTGAGGAAGTGAGGATTCAAGGTTTGTTTTGGGTTCTTGGAACTTCCCAACGTCGTTTTACGCTTCAAGAGGTAGGGATTCTCCTACTTTGATCCATTTCCTACCTAAAATATTATATGTAATGTGTAGGTTATGGGAATATATGCAGGTCACTTACCTTTGCATATAAAATAGAGGAAATGAGTATGAAAAAAGAGTATTGAAATGAGTTAGAATAAACTTTCCTAACTTGAGATTGACTGTGGTAATTACTTGATTGGTAATTTCATGGAAAAGTGAATTTATGGGCATGCTTTATGTTTAAATATTATGTCTTGCAAATGATATGGGAAATGATGTGACTTGATGGTATTTTGCATAAAATGCCTAAGTGAAACTTAATTTGTTATAGCATGGATTATTTGTAACAAGCTTGTGAACTGTTGATATTAGTGATTATATGCATGTGATATAAATTGTCATGACATATGTTAAAATGTATGGTTAAATTCAGCTGATTGGCATTCATTACATTGAGCATGACATTGGTATTACAATGGTTCATTATATTGCATGTGTATGAAAACATCACATTCAAGGGCTTAGGCATAAGTGTGGGTGTACGTTGTACATGGTTGGATCAATCACCATACTTGGTGTTTTGATGGGTGGACTCGAAAAAATGGGGTTGAATATCCTACTGAGTCGCACGGTTGCATACATGAAAAATTTATGTCGGGTATAACAAGAAGGGATAGATCCCCTCTCGGATGCAAGACCCAGCTATTAGTTTATACATTTTCGACGGTGTAAGTCCAAAAAAGTGCATCGGTGTGTGGAGCCGGCAGTGCAACACCAAAAGTCCACTACCCAAATAAAGACACATGATTTTTGGTTGTACAAATGATTCATTTGATGGGAAACATCCAAAAATATAAATTGGGTTTTATAAACACATGAGTTGTTTCAAAAAGATCTTTGGATGTACTCATCNAGGTAGAATGCTTCTAGGCACCTCCCTAGCCCCAAAAACCTTGATTTCCCAAAATCCTTTTTTGAATCTTCGGTGAAATTTCTCATTCTTGGTATGTACGCGTAGCCCTCGTCGCATAGACCAACTTTAATTTTTGGTTCGATGAATTTTGACCGATGGAACTCCTTGGATCGTAAGAAGAAAGGTAAAATTTTAGGCTTTCTCTCTTCTCTCCCTTTTCTCTCTTCAACGTCTGATTCAGTAGGCCAAATGGGGTGGGAATATCTGATTTTTCAGATATTTAGCCCCTATTTATACTTTTTAATTGCGCGATCCACATTGCTCAACATGTTTATTACTTTCAGGTCCGTTTTTAACCCAAAACGACTTAATTAATTCTCGATTTTAGTTCAAATTAATTTTATTTGAAATTTTATCTAATTATGAGGAAATTTTATAAATTTTATTTTTGGAGACGTTTGTCAAGTCATTCGTCACCCAAATCGTCTCGTAAAATGTGTAAAATCTGACTCTCTCAGAATTCGATGAAANTATGTATAATGTAGAAAATATTATTATATATGTTTGGAATGGATTTGAAAAGGTTTTGAGTGGATTGGAAATGAAAAATTGAAGAGACATAAAATTCTGGGCAAAACCTTTCGGAAGGTCACAACAACCTTCCGGAAGGTTAATGCAAACTTTTGGCCCAGCAGGCAAAACCTTCCGGAAGGTTAATGTAAATTGTTATCCAGTAGACAAAACCTTCCGAAAAGTCTATAAAACTTTCCGAAAAGTTTTCCAAAAATTTGAAATTTTAAGAATTCATTATCATGCTTTTGGGTTATGTGTTCTTTGGTTCCAATGACCCAAATAGACCTTAAATGAGATACATTGAAGTATGTTGAATCTCGATAGGATTAAATGAATTAAAGAAAACACGGATCCTCGTTTGGGTTGTAATCCCGGTTACAGAGATGTGATACACGTGATGTCGGATTATGCGACAACCACGAATATTTCTGTAGATTAACGGATAGTCAACGAGACCCCGATTTTAGGGCGTTACGGATGCAGTCTTCCCCTACACGAGGAAAAGTTGCTCCTAGTCACAATGAAATAACTCACCTAAAGAGAATAATCAAAATGTCAATAGAAAAAGCATTCAGTGGGCAGGGTAGTGAAATCAAGAACAACATCAAAAACTTAACTTTATATTATTCTGAAATGTGAAAGGATTCTGATATCAATTTCAGGATCCACTTCTTGAGTTTAGAAAAAGATAGATCAAATAATTCCTGAATTCTTGTCTTGAAGTAACAATTTCATGGACCACCATTTACCAAATTCTACCTTAAAGATCAACCCGTAAAGGAGCAGAGGAATCTGGAAAGGGGCTATTTTTTTATTTTTTTTTGGGGGGGGGGGGGGGGGGAAAAAAAAAAG